TCACATTATATACAACATATAATTATATACATCCCCACCCTTCACCTGTAGATACCAGCATTTCCTACAAAGAACATATGTTCTTTGTAAGGATGTAAGGATCCATGCTCTCAAATATTTCTGCACATATGTCTGGAATGGGATGTTGAAGACACGAATTTATTATTATCTTATAATACTTTGCTCAGTTAAAGATGATGACATGATTGTTTGTACCAAGAACATTAATAAAATGTGAAGTTATTCCAAGCAGTTGGGTTTTTTTAAAAAAGGAGAGGACCAATTTCAAATCCTTAGTAAAGCTAACTATAAAAGATGAAGGCTCCCTCAAACTGATCTTGCCTGAGATACAAAAGTCAAAATACAGAAATTAGAACAGTATATTTATTTATTTATTTATTTATTTATGAGACTTATATACCGCCTTTAAGTGCAAGCACTCTCTAAGCAGTGTACACCAGTAAGCAATGTATGTATGTATATATATATATATATATATATATATATATATATATATATATATATATATATTACATTGCCCCCAACAATCTGGGTCCTCATTTTACCTACCTCGGAAGGATGGAAGGCTGAGTCAACCTTGAGCCGGTGAGATTTGAACCGCTGACCTGCTGAACACAGTCAGCTAAAGTGGCCTGCAGTACTGCACTCTAACTGCTGCGCCACCTCGGCTCTTTGTTGCTTGGATGATAATCTATTTGTTTATGCTGAAAGAATCAATTAAACTCCCATCACCTTTTTCAGTCTGTTGGCATGAAGTTATATAGCAAAAATATAACCAAGACAAAATATAAGGAAATTAAAACAAAAAGTACCTTTTGCAATATGGATTATATCAAAAAGCAGTTATGGATTATATCAAAAGGTCACAGGATAGAAATAGAAAAACATCTTAAATAAATGATTTATATGCTGAATTCAGATCCCAGGATTGCAGAATGTTGTGTTGAGAAATCCATCCGACGGATCAGTTATAGCAGACATTGTGCACACATAGAAAGGATCAGGGTGTGTGTAAGGTACAGTATGATCAAGAAAGTCAAGATGGCAGCCACTATAGTTCAATGAAAGCTCCAACTGGTTCACTTAGATGTTTGCATCTGCCATATTGACTTTTTTGATCACACTCTGAGATACTCTTGGTAAGGCCCTTTCATATGCCAACAAACTGCTAATCTGACATTGGCACCTCACCTCACCTCCCTTGTGTGTCTCCATGATGCTACAATGCTCCAGGTTATTTTGGAAAAACAAGCTGACAACTTTACACGTTGACTGGCTCCACTTCTGTTCATTCCTCTGGGTGGATAAAGGAGCTACTGCTTGGTAGGAACTCCAGCCTTGTTCTGCCACTTGCATTTTCCACCTCTACCCTAAAATTCTCAGCTGATCAGAGATGCAGGTTAGCTACTTCCATAGCAGTGGTTGGCTTCACTAGCTCCACTCCCTCTCCCTGAAAACAAACCCCCCAGTTTCCCTTGCTGCAAACACCTGTTAAACAACCAGAATGAATTAGGAAAAATCCTGCAACAGCCAGTGCTGTCCCAATCACCCTCCCAAGTTCCAATATGGTTGTGGGCACCTTCATACTAACTCTGGGCAGGGATAATAAATATGATTTCACAACACTGAGTTTGCTAGAAGTAATTTTATTCTCAAGTACACACTGGGCAAGATATTGGCAGATCTCCCAGGTGAACACATCTGCCTGTCTCCCATGTTCACCACCACATGGATTATGTGGGATCTCCTTATGAGCTCCCACAAACCACAGATGACCAGAAAGGGGCATGACTCTGGCAGTCTGCCACATATCACCACCCCAAAATGTGCCCCAGTACCAAAGTGGCTAATTTGGAATAGGCAGAAAAACAATACATCTATTTGTTTGCCATATTGATAAGCTGGATTAGGACATTGGAAGGCAAACAACACAATTGATATACACAGTGAAAACCATAATATAAGGTCCAAACAATTGACAATGAAATAGGGAAGAGGCCAAATGGTAGCTGGTTTTAACTTCAGCACTTTGAACATCCTCACTTTAGAGTTTCCAATGAATAGAGGCGATCCCAAGAAGGCCTCTCACCTGCCTCCTCACCCCATAAGCCCGGCAGAATGTGGAGACGAACCTTTAGGTGTTCGTACTGGCTAGACAGATTCTATCTTGGTAGGGAATTGCCTGATAAAACCGGGTGAAGCCACTTTAAAATGATAGCTCATACTTTGAATTGGGTCCAGAAGACAGCCAGCAGCACCCACATGAACTGTAGGATGGATGAAATTCAGCTCTAACAGAGTCGTCCTTTGACGAACATTGCTGCTGCCACTTGAACCGTCCCTACCATCTCAGTCATCCTCAACGGCTGCACCATGTAGAGCACGTTCAAGTAGTCTAACTGTGCGGTGATCAGGGCATGAGTTGCCGTCACTGGAGTATCCTGGTCAAGGTAGAATCATAACTGGCACAGCAGCTGAAGCTGAGCAACACTGCCCCCTCCCCAAAGCCACAACTTTCCTTAGAGGAATTTCTCATCAACTGAGAAATGGCAAAACCTTGTGGAAGGAATTCTTTTTTTTTTTTTTTATTGAGATTTTTCAAAAGTTTTACAAATAAAAATCCACCCCCCCCTCCCCAACCACCCCACCCCCCCCCCGACTTCCCAGAACTGAATATAGGATTATTTAACAAATATTTTAAAAATAACATTTGCAATTTATAAAATAATTAATAATAATAATAAAAATCACAATAATAATATATATAATAATAATATACATAACATAAACTTTAAAATGAATAATATATACTAAAAAAGAAAAAAATAAAAATAAAAAGAGAAGAGAGAGAGAGAAAGAAGAAAGAAGAAAGTAGACGAAGAATAAAGCATATATATATAAAAAAAAAATATATATGAATAATAATACATAAAAAATGTATATATATAAAAAAGAAAAAGAAGAAAGAAAGAAAGAAAAAACAATCATTACAAATTATAAAAAGGCTAAATAATATTTTTCCATATCCAAATTATGTTGTATAAAATTTATCCATTTTTCCCATACCGCAAAAAATTTTTCTTGAGATTGCTCCTTTAAGAAAGCCGAAATCTTTGCCATTTCTGCCAAATACGAAACTTTATGAAACCATTCTTGTAAAGTAGGCAAAGATTCCTTCTTCCAATATTGTCCTATTAACAACCTAGCGGCTGTAATCAAATTTAACATCAATATAACCTCCTTAGCATCACAGTCAATAACAATACCTAGTAAAAATAATTGCGGAGTAAATTTTACCCTTCTTTTAAAAATTCTTTGAATATTCCACCATATCTTAATCCAAAAAGCTTTTATATGCTTACACGTCCACCAAATATGGTAATAGGTAGCATCCAAATATCCACATCTCCAGCATTTCGGCTGTAGATTAGGGTACATAATGGACATTTTCTTTGGGTCAAGGTGCCATCTATAAAACATCTTATAAAAATTCTCTCTTAAATTTTGCGCTTGTGTGAATTTAACATTTCTTATCCAAATAAGTTCCCAAGTATCCATTGAAATCGTTTCACCAATATTCTGTGCCCATTTAATCATACAATCTTTAACTAGTTCAAGTTCTGAATCTAATTCCACTAAAACCCCATAAACTCTCTTAATATGGGTTGGCCTTTGATCTCTTACTTGTTTTAAAAAAATTTCATCTTCTCTAAGCCAGCCCATTTTACAATCCATCTTCCATCTATCCACTATTTGTCTATATTGGAACCATGAATAAGTTAAGTTTTCATATGTTAATTCTTCCAAAGATTTTAACTGCCAGTCTTGGCCATCCCATCTTAATAACTGTACGTAAGAGACCTTGTCCATATTTACCCCTTTCCTTATACCTTCTATGGCATGCCGAGGTATAGCCCATAATGGTATTTTGAAGTCACTTTTATAATACTTTCTCCACACTCTTAGCAAAGAGTTTCTTATAATATGAGACTTAAAAACCCAATCCACTTTTTTATTAAATATTAAATAGGCATGCCATCCAAAAAATAGGTCCCAGCCTTCCAAATGAAGTATTTCTGTATTTGTTAAATTCACCCAGTCGCTAATCAATGTCAATACTACAGCATCATAATACAATTTCATATTTGGTACCTTGAGTCCACCTCTCTCACGAAAATCTTGCATTATTTTAAGTTTCACCCTTGGTTTTTTCCCTGCCCAAACAAATTTATTAATACCTTTTTGCCATTCATCTAAATTACGTTCGTTCTTTAAGATAGGTAACATTTGGAACAAAAAAATAAACTTTGGCAGGACATTCATTTTAATAACTGCAATTCTGCCCATAAGGGATAACTGTAAATTATTCCAGTTTTTTAAATCCTTCTGTACCTCCATCCACAGCTTTTCATAATTATTTTTATACAATTTTACATTAGAAGCAGATAATGTAACCCCCAATGAAGGAATTCTATCTGAACAAGGACAACCAATATTCAGCCTTGGCAGTGCTTAGCCTGCGCTTATTTCATCCCCACCAGATCCTAAGCACCCCCAGGCATCAATTCAGGACTTCAAATGCTTCAGCTCAGGCAATAGGATGGCAAGAATGGATACCATGCAGAGTTTCCACTAGTCTTGTTCCTCGAAGTTTCTGCAGTTATGTTGGGCCCAACTCTCCACCAGCATGGACACTAGAACGGAAAAAAGACTGGTTTGTCTAAACGACGAGATTCAGGTTGAGGGACGATGGTTGTTAGTTTTCCGAAACATTATCTCCCAAAACCTTCGTCATAGATTTACGAATCAGTAGCTGATCCACAAGAAATGGAAAAGAGCCGAGAGACAACGGAAGTCCGCAAGTGGACCGCTGTTATACCAGGCCTCACCAGCAGAGGGCGCTGTTGCTTCTGTATCGTGGCGCGTGCTGCTCCCTCCCTATATATAGGAGACCAAGGGAGGAGGTGGTGATTGAACGCAGGTGTTGCGCGCGTGTTGAAGGCGGTCAATGCGTACAGAGCTCATGCTGGCAGTGGGCATGAAGGAGACGTGCGGGTAAGGGGGGGGGGGCGGAGGCTTGTCACGTCACCTTACGAAAGGGCAGCCCGGGAGGCGCTGGGCTCTTCTTCGCTTGAGGAAAGTGAGGTGGACGCGTGTGACCCTCTGCGGTCGCTGCTGACGCTTTCTCCCCTTCCCACGCTCAGCTCAGAATTTCCATTGGCTTTATGGAAACCGCTAACTCACTCTAGATTAGAGCACTTTGGATAAATGCGACCGCTAGAAGCAAAACCGTAAAAAACGGAGGCATGTTTCTTGGGGAATAAGAAAGTGAAAAAGTGTATTGCATGGCAGCCCCATCATCCCCAATGCGCGTGGAAATTTGGGAAGGTTGGTGTACTTTGAGTGGCTTTAGTATCAGTTGGCAAGGACTCATACACACGCGCAGAAATATACCGAAGAGAGACGGAAGAAAAAGTATCTTGCATTTCGTTTTATTTTGAGATCCCTGTGGTTTATCTTCTCCTTCCCAGTACTTTGTGTATGAAAGCAAGCATCCGATCACTTACACCCTCAAGCTAATTCTAGTTAGTCCATTAAAATGATGGCGAAATATAGTAAGTAAAAGTTTCAAGGTACTGAAAACTGTTATGCCTTTTTTTAAAACAGAGAAATAGGTTGCCCAAGTTCTGCCTTTTTTTTTTTAGAAATGGAACTAGGAAGTTTCAGTATATCTACTCTTTCCTGTTGCTCCAGGATGCCCTGTGGTTAGCTTGTGTCACTGCTCCCCCCCTCCAGCTGTTGATGAGCATATTTATTCTACACCTGCAGAGAATGAGGTAGTCAGCCCTAAAGTGGTACATTGAATCATTTCTTTCAAGTTATTACATTTTTGAAAGGCCATTTTTTCAGAGGTTCCCAATATAAGGCAGATGAATGCATTGTCCCCTTTCTTGTTTATTCTACATTTAATTTGGGGTATGTAGTTAGGCCCCTGGGTAGAGAGAGTGGCCCTGTTTGCTATGGAACATTTTGGTCCATCCTATTCTTAACTCATTATTGTCACTTATCCCCTCTGGGTAAGGTAACCCTGGTCAAGCATTAGATTTCCTGAAGACAGTGTTAACAATAAAAGGTGAAGAGGACAGTTGAGGAGATAGCTTCCTGTTCTGTTCTAGGATGAGTGTTTTACTTGTTAGATTAGCAACTAAAAATAAGGTAGTATTTGTCAGAAGACCCAACACCATTACATGGCCAAAGTCTGTGAATGTGTTGACTTGTTTACCCTTTAGTAGTTAAGTAATGTGCTATAGATTTGGGAGGGGAAAAAACCTCTCTGGTGAAGGATGAAACAAGAATTCTTTGGGGCATGGTCCACTCCTTTTGCCATCTTGCTCTTTACTATGCAACCTGAGATGCTTTACTTGAAATTGAATCCCATTGATTTAGGTTGGGTTTAGATTGCTGAGACCTGTGATTGCACCGCAACCTTGCAACCAATGGACTCCCCTGTAGATGTTTTGGGGTCTCTGGTTTTATAATAAGTTTTCCAACCTAGTTGGTTTCCTCATGATATAATCCTAGACAGGCTGGTTTTAAGCTCTCCTTACATACAATATAGATCCCTTTACCCCCAAAGAGTGTTCCTTAATTTCACTTAAAAGATGTTTAACAATTGAATAGTTGATAGCAATCAGGTGCACAATATCGAGGGAGGAAAGATACAATCTTGTTTTCCTCTTATTTCTCCTGGTCATTAACATTTTTGTTGCATTCTGATTTAAGTTCTTTCTCATGAACCTCAGTTCAATGGTCTTATCCAGGGGTCTTCAAACTCAGCCTTTTTATGACTCATGGACTTCAACTCCCAGAATTCCTCAGCCAGCGTGCCGAGTTTGAGGACCCCTGGTCTTATCAGAGAATGTGTCTATAATGTAGGACAGTCTTTCTCATTCTGAGCACCCTCCAGATGTATGGAAGCCAGCTAATAGAATTCTTCAGGAGGTGTGGCCATTGCTGAGAATTCTGGGGGATTGAGCATCTGGAGGATGTCAGGAAGGTTAATATAGACACATGGCTAAGCCAGGAAATTATTCATAAACAAGGGAAAGACATTGACACTGGAAGGGGAGTCAATAATTGCTTTGCCTTCCATAATAATCCAGATAGGTCGTAGGCCATCTTGGTCATTTTTTGGAAAGGAAGGATGGGACTTCTTTTGAAAGTGCCTTCTGGTATATCTTGTTGCTACCCAAATCTTCGTTGTGCTCAGTTTCACTGCTGGAGAAGAGAGTGCTTGGTTGTAGAGCATTTGCTTTCCACATAGAAGAGCCTGGATCTTCTCCCTATCCACTAGTCAAAAGGGATTAGGGATCAGATAATGGGACAGATTTGTGTGCCTGAAATCTACTGCCACAATCAATAGTATTGAGTTAGATAAACAATTTCTCTTCCTTATATGTAAGCATTTCTACTCTCTGATTATTTGAGATTAACAAAAGGTGGAGTAGACTATTGGTTGATCAGTGTGATTTACAGCACAAATTTCAGAGTGATGTTTGACAATAACAACAGATGAACAATTGGAAGAACAAAATTGTGCTGCTAAAATTAAAATAGCTGAAAAGAAAATAAGAAATGCCTGATGGTTTGAAGGGATTCTGAACTCTATTCTGGGAAATTCTTGGTTTGGGAAATGAATTGAGTGTGTCTGTTTCACCTTGTTTGATACACTGTAGGATTGTAATAAGGAAGAAAAAGTTATGTGAGTGTGAAATCTGTTCATTGCTACTGCTTAATTTTAAAAGCCAATGTCTCAAATATAAGACACCCCCCCCACACACACACACATCAAGAGCCCTTAGAAAATTCTGCTTACCGTATTTCAGGCATGTCAAAATTGCAACGTCACGTGACGTCGCGTGACGTATCGCAGCTTTTTTCCATTGCCGGCAAAGGGGTAGGCGCAGTTTTGAGATGATGCGTCCGGCCCACAGGCCAGCAGTTTGACACCCTTGCCGTATTTCATAATAATTCTATTCACTGTAGGCTCTTGGCTTGTGAAGAACCATATGGATCCCACAACATTCAAAAGTTGCCAACTCCTGTCTTAATCATACAGAAATATGATTTAGGATGCTTAAATAAAAGACAAAAAAGCAACTAACTAGAATTTTGAAATGGAGATTATCAATAGATATTGATGCTGGAAAATAATGCTAATGTTCCCTCTATAAGCATGACTGTTAGGAGAAAGTTACTTATGAATATGTGAAAATAATGTTTTTATCTTCTACAGTAAAATAGAAAGAAGTTGGTTATGGGGATGAGGGTCTGCTTCAGACATTCCTGTACTTGCAGTGATCTGTTTCCTACAGTAATGGGCCAAACTCTAGGAGGGACAACTATCTACTTAGCACTTAGCATTCTTAGGTGTTGTATTTTTTATAATTATTTGATTCTAAGTCAAACATATCAAAATATTTTAAAAGCTACTTGAAAGATATTAGTTTAATTTATATTTATAATACAATGAAAAAATGAACTTGGGTGAAATCCTTATTAGTGAACACAGTCCAAAACTTACAGATCATTTTATATTTGTAAAAGGCATGCAAAAGTGGACTTACAAATAAATGTACTGCAATAATCAAGCCAGGATAGACTGATCTTTAAATGTGTATCCATGCACTAAAGTCTGTAATACTAGGAAAACTGTTAAGAAGAGATACATTTCTAAAATTTCAGCTAACAGCAAAGTGATGCTGCTTTCTGTGTAAAAACCTATCATTTTTTTGCCTTAAGATGCAAGCTATCTTGAATACTGAATTGATATTAGTAGAAACCTTAGTTTTTAATATTATGGAAACGTGCCTTTGCTTGAACTGTAGAATTTCAGTTCAGATATGAGGCTATTTCCTATAACAGCTTTTTTCCTGCAAATTCTGGACTTTAAATAAGATAAATTACTTAATATGCAATGGGGATGTGAAGAAAAGAGTTGGTTGTGATGGAGAAAAATAAACTCCTTAGTCTTGATTTATGTAAATTTCCTGTACAGAAATTTTTTGGAGAAGCAGCTGGAAAGGCACTACGGAATTTCTTCTCCCATTAGTTTGGCACCACCAAGGGAAATAGATTATATCTATACACAGAAATTGATTGAAGCCCTGAAGCCTTTTGGTGTATTTGAAGAGGAAGAAGAGCTGAATTGCAGGTAAAAGGAAGTACATATAGTAACTACTGATCTTAAATGAATATTTTCTAATTACCAGAGTCATAATAGTGAGTTTTTCTTGGTGGAATTGCAACAGGATAAACCCCTTGGCACCAATTTTTAGCACTACTTTTAAATGTTTTGTTTATGTTAAATATTTCCTCACTGCAGGTTAGCTGTTCTTGACAAACTAAATAACTTGGTTAAAGACTGGATTGCAGAAGTTGTTGAAAATAAGGTAAGAGGCCTGTCAAAGCTTGACTCCTCCAGACTATTTATCTTGTTTTAAGCTAGAATTCTGTTGGGAGTAATAGAGATTTAGCTGTTATCTGAGAGACATTTGCTGTCAAGCTATAGGTACCCTGCCATATATCAGAAGACTAACTGTTCCCTCCATGGAGCTCTTCATCTCCCACTTTCCCTTCCTTCCTGCCAGCCCTATTTTGGAGGCAATTGGGATAATCTTTGAAGCCACAAGACTTGCAACAAATGATACTTGATTGCTCTGGAAAGCTCATGACCTATCATTGTTGTTAAATCATTGATAGAGTCAAACTTTAACAAAAGCTCTCTTTGCAAAATTTCCTTTCCAAGGTGGAGGTAGGCAAGGCTGAAGACAAGATGTCAACTTACTTGAGTTTTTTTAGTTAGCGAGTGTTTGCTCAAAGATTGGTGGATAAGCTACAATTGACTTGGCACACAGAATGCATTAAATCATAAGTTATGGCTTGAAGATTTCAATGGCTGAAATTACAAAACATAAAACTGGGCAAACTACAGTACATTATAGCTAAGCATAATGCCAGAACATGCCAGTCTATTGTATAATTTCCGTAAATGCACTCAGAGTGATTCATAGAAGTTGATAAATTTGTTTACAGTTAAGTAGATATGCTATAAGTGGGAAAAAGAAGAAAAAAGATTAAGCAAATTTAAAAAATACTAGTTGCATAAGAAAGTTCTGAGAAGAGCAAACAGCTTTAGCTAAGAACATTGCCATTTTACCACTGATGACAAAAAAATGTTGGGAATAATGACTATAATTGAAATACTTCTGGAATAGGAGGGTTGATGAAAATGTTAACTGTTAAAAAAATTGAAGATAGTGGAAACACTGTTGTACCTTTGTGTGTGCACATGTTAAATATAATTGTATACATTATTGGAATCACTTATTTTTTCAAAGTAAAACTTTTTCTACTTTCCTGTAGAATTTGCCATCTTCAATCTCATCCAGAGTTGGTGGCAAAATATTCACATTTGGTTCCTATCGTCTTGGAGTCCACACCAAAGGTAAGATCTACCAGGTACATTGGACTGCAGCTGTTTATTTAATTTGCAGCTGGCATGGATAGGCTATCAGATTGGGAAAGGCTGTTATAAACAGTCTTGAACTGTGAACATATTCATCTTCATCAACTAATTGCTATGACTGTTTTTCGGTAGGTGCTGACATAGATGCACTCTGTGTAGCCCCTAGACACATAGAAAGATCAGATTTCTTCCAGTCGTTTTTTGAAAAGTTAAAGCTCCAAAATGGCATCAGAAATCTGAGAGTAAGTCCCTTTGTCTTTCTTTAACCATCTCGGGTATGCATGTCATTCACTTGATGGTTGGGCAGCACTGTGTGAAAGTGGTTTATTAACAAGCCTTGAGAGGTTCAGAAAGGCTGTATTGAAGTGATACAAAATTTGTAAACATGTTTTATTTTGTTTTAATTGAAGTTTAGATTCATTCAGGTTTATGCGCCAAATTAATATTTCCCAACTTTCTTCCCTGCTAGCTGGAAAATTCTGGGAGTTTGAAGTCCACTGGGGGGACATTCACCTCTGGGGAAACATTTAGATCTGGGAGCTCTTCTGGGTCTTGGAGAGACATATAAGAAGTACTCTCCAAAAAATGAAGGCAACAAAGGCAGACAGTCAATTTAAAATAAGTCATTAGTATGTTTATTTCCTATTTATTCATTTTCTTTCTATTGCATCAACAATTACAACTTTGAATTATGGGATGCACCCAAGAGGTCTGCCACAATATGAAAGCTTTATTTCTTATCCTCTCTTGTTTCCTTAGCTTTGGGAAGATCCCAAGTGCAGAAGCAATGATGTATGAGTAAGAGAAGGAAAAATATTGCTTTATCTAAGCTATTTTACAGAAAGGCTGCCTGTATTTGTCAGTTAAGGTTTTTTGAAGATGAATCCAGAGATACTGGGCCATTCAAGAGTAGTTAATAATAAGGGTACTTAATTAATAAAGACTAGGGGTGACATGATAGCAGTGTTCCAATATATGAGGGCTGCCACAAAGAAGAGGGGGGACAACCTATTCTCCAAAGCACCTGAAGGCAGACAAAAAAGCAACGGATGGAAACTAATCAAGGAAAGAATCAACCTAGAACTAAGGGGAAATTTCCTGACAGTGAGAACAATTAATCAGTGGAACCACTTGCCTCCAGAAGTTATGGGTGCACCACCACTGGAAGTTTTTAAGAAGAAATTGGACAACCATTTGTTTGAAATTATGTTGGGTTTCCTGCTTGAGCAGGATGTTGGACTAGAAGACCTTCAAGGTCCCTTCCAACTCTTATTCTATTATTCTGTTAATTGTTAGAATTAGGTACCTTCTTACACCTTGTCTGGGATATAGAACCTAGGATTATTATAAACTTTTATAATCTGAACTCTGATGTGGGGTGCTGGTATAACTTAAATTTTGTTTTAGTAAAAATAAACTTGCTATTTTAAAAATATGTGATAGATTCTGCTTTTTATTGATATATTTAAAGGTTATGTCTTTGGGAAGACTGAGATATCTGAGCCCTCTGTTTTACTTTAGGAAAAGTTACATTGTTATTGTGTTGCATATCTTCATTCTGGAAGTAGTGAAATAATTCAAAACTACTTCAAGTATATGTTTTTCATTCCCTCCTACAGGCAGTAGAAGATGCATATGTACCAGTAATCAAATTTGAATTTGATGGTATTGAGGTAAATATAGTTTTTGTCCTATTGTCAGTGGTGGGATTCTGCCGGTTTGCACCACTTTGGCAGAACCGGTAGCTAATTTTTTGTTGCCCAGGCCCAGAATGGACTTCTGGAAGGGGCATCCACACAGAGAACCAGTTGTTTACATATTTGAATCCCTATTATATACTGTAGACAGCTTCTGCTTGAAATTTGAATTTGATGATACTGGTTGTCCTTTTTAAGAGCAGAACTTGTTCTTAAAGTGATGTTTGGATAAGTAGACAGATGCCTATATATATTTTCTCCAAGTGTTAATGAAGAGATGTAATAAACAGCTGAGATTAGGAATGGTTTGGCACTTAGCTTGAGCACTGAAGTAACAGAATTTTGCCAGATTCCCCTGGGAGCAAATTTAGACTAGGTTTCCATTGGTCTTCCCAGTGACATGATTGCTAGCATAAAAAAAATTCAGCTAATATTTATCTTTCCTGGTGAGTAATCAAAAAGAAAAGCATTGGAAAATAAACAATACTGATAATATGACAACTAAGTGGCAAGCAATGAAAAATAGCTCTCATTGGAAATTGTAAATAAGGCATTTCTGTGTCAACATATAAAAGTAAAGTGATTTGCATTTATTAAACGCATTTATTAAAAGATACTTGTGTATCCTAACATATACGTAAATTAAAGGAAGATATGTACAAGATCATACGTCATATGTTAGCAGACTGAGAAGCAAACTTTTAAACACCTTGCTAATGAAAATACTGAAATAGAGAAGATATTTATTAATTCACACAGCCTTGGGTTCAGCTAATAAATCTTGAAGATATGGGGAATATAGAAGTAAGTCCTGCAAAACTGAAGTCTGACTATACTAAGTGTAATGAGCATGCAGCAGTTTGTCATGGTGGCTGATATTAGGCAGCTTTTTTTTTTACAATTCCAGAAGAGTTGTGTATGAATTGCAAGATTGATTCAGTACAGTATTACACAGGCTATGTGTACTGAATTTTGTGAGATGTTTCTTCTACCTTCTGAGCAGGATACATAGATCAAACCAGAATGCCTGCTACTTGGTAGCACATTGTTAGAGTTACTGCTGAGATACCATTTTCATTTCTTACATTTTAGATTGATCTTGTCTTTGCAAGACTACCTCTGCCAAGCCTTTCAGATAGCCTGGACCTTAGGGATGATGCACATTTGAGAAGCCTTGATATCAGATGCATTCGGAGTTTAAATGGTAATTGAAAAGCTTTCCCTAGTCTGGTATCTTCATGCAGTTTTATAACTTGGCTTGAGGATTCAGGCTAAGAATAACTGTCTTGTCTTTTCAAACAGAAACAGTGGCTGAACGGTGATATTCAAATGTGTGCATTATCATGTGATAATGGATGGAATGGATCCATCCATTAATTTCCATTCATAAGCAATGGATGGAAACTAATCAAGGAGAGAAGCAACCTAGAACTAAGGAAAAATTTCCTGACAGTTAGAACAATTAATCAGTGGAATGACTTGCCTCCAGAGGTTGTGGGCGCTCCAACACTGGGGGTTTTTAAAGAAGAGACTGGACAACTATTATCTGTATATGGTTTCCTGCTTGAGCAGGAGGTTGGATTTAGAAGACCTCTAAGGTCCCTTCCAACTCTGTTATTCTGTTACAATGCTTAAAGCTTACTGTATACATGGTTGCACGAACCATGCGTACAGTAAGCTTTAAGCATTCAGTTTGCTTAAATTCAGTTTGCTTAAAACATGATGGAACTCTCATACACAGGTGTAAATAGCATGTAACACTTTTCAGCATTCAAAAAAAATGCTTCAGTTCTTGCAAAAAATAGTTTTGCAACAAAAATTCTTCCAAAACTTGAAGCACTGTCACAGAGAAGAGGGGGTCGACCTATTTTCCAAAGCACCTGAAAGCAGGACAAGAAGCAATGGGTAGAACACATTAAAAAGAGCTCCAACCTAGAATTAAGAGAAATCTCCTGCAATGAGAACAATTAATCAGTGGAATGGCTTGCCTCCAGAGGTTGTGGATGCTCCATTCCTGGAGGTTTTCAAAAAGACATTGGGCAACCATTTGATCAGAATGATATAGGATACCCTGCTCCAGCAAGAGGTTGAAGTAAAAGACTTCCAAGGTCCCTTCCAATCTTATTATTCTATATTCTAAAATCCTGTTGGATAAGTCAGGAAGACCACAGTGTTATTGTTGACACAATATGACCAGATTAACACAAAGGCAAATTCTATCAGATCTTCACCAATATTAGAAAATCATAAACAAAACTATTCCACCACCATCTCACCAATATTGGAAAAATAGGCGTTGGTTTCTAATATTGCTGCCTCAATCCTGCACTGGGTCCACTGCTCATTGTACCCACACTCAGTGTACCCACTGAATACACCTAGGTGGAAATTATAAAGAATCTTTATTCTGCTGAGGAAAATGACACAGCATCATGTGTCTCAAAGCCTCTCAAATGTCTTCTGGTGAGGTTTAACCAACATTTACCACAAGTTACAGCATGCATATATCACAGGGTCACAAGATATTTTTCCATGTTCCTTTAAAGTAAATCCTGTATTTTTAATATTTCAGCATTGCACATATGCATAAAACAATACTCAACAAAGTTACGTAAGATAACTAATGCTACATGCTCCATACCACAATTTTTCCAGCAAACTTCCCTTCCCATAATATTTGCAACTCTCTCCTGTTTGTCTTTGCCTTATCCCATATTACACTTGGGGTTACAGTTTACCAAGCTAAATATGCTTAGGCTTTTATTGAGCTTTTATCAAAACTTTATTGGGAATTTGGGGTTTTCTCTTCTAATATTCCTGTTCTTAAACAATTTGGCCATCTGCTCATAGAAATATGATGTATAAAATCTTTATTAATTAATATGCTGTCTATGTATTTAATATGTTCATGTGTTAAAAGGCTAGTTTCTTCAGGAATATATCCTAGAAAATCTGGAGAGTTTGTATCCATCTTCCCAACTGGAAAGAAAAAACAAAAATTTAAGCTATAGTATTAATATTGAGAGCCAGATTGGTATTGTGGTTAAGGCATCAGGCTAGAATTCAGGACACTCTGAGTTCTAGTTCTGCTTTAGGCACAAAACTAGCTGGGTGGTTTTGGGCCATCACCCTCTCTTAGTCCTAGAAAGCAGGCAATGGCAAAAAACATCTTGATATTGCATGATTGTTATAGCAGCTAGATTTCAGGAACTAGCATTTAGAATAATCCCTGGATATGGAAAAATATGGTAAAATGATCTGCGTATGAGTAAATCATATTTTCCAAAAATTGTATTTTTTATGTGGGATAACATTTAATATTACTGTTTCAGACCAGTTTTCGTCATTTTTTTTTTCAGGATGACTTAAATAAAACAAAGACCTTTGTCCAACCTGGAATGTTTCAGATATGTTAAATTACATTCCAGTTACTGAATATGGCTGGGAATTCTTGCCAATGTGATGTACTGAATCTGGATAGCAGGGTGTTGAGGAATGCTACTGTAAACCATTGCTTGCCATTATTGGTACTTTACCTATTTAACTTGAAACTTTAATGTTTGTTGGCAGGTTGCAGAGTCACTGATGAAATACTTCATTTGGTACCAAACAAGGAGAACTTCAGGCTGACACTCAGAGCAATTAAACTGTGGGCTAAGCGTAAGTACTTAATACATCAAATTTTGCACTGTCAGCTGCACAACTTAATAGTCCTTGAAATGACTCTTTAGGTTAAGCCAAGTGAGTTTGTCATATATGAATGTTTTCTGCAAATCTTCATCATGGCAGTTGGACCATAAATTTAGTAGATCCTGAAACAAATTTACATGTGTCTAATGTTTGCAAAGCAGCAGCTGGATATGTGTTTGCCATTCCTATTAAATGCTCAAAACTTACTTTAAGCCATAGCAAGTAATTAAGCATTGGTATTTGAGCTGGACATTATCCAGATTGTATAAGTGACAGAACAATTAATCAGTGGGACAGCTTGTTTTCAGAAGTTCTGGGTGCTCCATCAAAAAGAGACTGGACAACTACTTGTCTGAAATGGTACAGGGTCTTCTGCTCAAGCGGGGCTGGACTAGAAGACCTCCAAGCTCCCTTTTAACTCTTGTCATTCTGTTACCAGAATTCAGTCCTATGTAAGAACAAGAAGAGAAATATTGCAGTTGCCCTATTACTGCGTCACCTAAAATCCTTTCCTAGGCCTGGCAAGTAGCACTGAGGTTCCTGTGAGAATTAAGAAACTAGTTTCTTCAATAGTATAACCAAGAAAATCTGATGAGCTGTTCCTCATTGGAAATTAGATTTGCACTCACTTTGTTATAAAAAAAATATGTACAAATTATATCGTGTACTCTGCTGTAATTCCTGATTCATATTGCCAAAAAAGTTCATTCCAAATATTGAAGAAGTCACAGTGCCTTTCTCATTCTTATCAGTTATGAAGGTGCATTATTGGAACATACATATAATAGCAGACATGACTACTCTTAGCATTTTCTGAAGTTATCCTTAGCTACAGAGAAAAAATGATTTGCTTCTGGACATTGAAAGACATTGATATTTTCCAGTGAGAGTGAAGTAGTTCATTCTTTTTTAGAGAATCTGTATAAACAAAATGTCAGCTCAATCAAGGGATTGAAACACATGACCTTTTAAACCAATATCTGTGTTTCTTTGCACATGCTAGAGGAGGCTCCCTATGGTTTAAGTATACTGCTGCCTACCAAACATTTTAGGAAGAGGTTTTCTACCTCATGTTAGTTAAATGTATGCTTGTTCTAGAGATGTATCCTTCTGATTATATTATTTAGGGTCTAAATGTGTACTGCTTTACTGTATATCTCATTCCTACTTAGTTTACAATAATCAGTACAAGAACTATTTTTTAAAAAATGTCCTACTTTTCAAATGGTCAACAAAATATGTATCTTAAAAATTCGCAATATCCCCATTCAGAAGATTATAATTTATGGAAGATAGGTTTGGGGGCATTTAATAGAAACAACCTAAATTAATTTTCATGAACTGAACCAAGGTCCCTCGGAACATCATATGCTGGGGGTTACATTTGAGAAATGTGGAGCACTCGCCAATGTCCAGATAGATAGTCCTCGATTACAACAGTTTGTTTAGTGACCATTTGAACTTACAACAGCACTGAAAAAAGTGACTTATGACTGTTTTTCACTCTTAAGACCATTGCAGCATCCCCATGGTCACGTGATCAAAATTCGGATGCTTGGAACCGGTTCATATTTATGATAGTTACAACATCCCAGGATCATGTGATCACCTTTTGCACCTTCTGACAAGCAAAGTTAATGAAGAAGTAGATTTGCTTAAAAACCATATTGCTAATTTAACAACTGAAATGATTCACTTAACAACTGTAGCAAGAAATGTTGTAAAATGAGCCCAAAACTCACTTAACAAATGTCTCACTTAGCAACATAATTTTTGGGCTCAATTGTGGTCCTACGTCAAGGACTACCTATACTGTAGAGTCAAATAGGCCAGGATACAAGGCTCAAGCACATAAGGCAACACTCAATCCTCAGGGCGGGGTTAAGTAGTGATAGAAATTTAAAATAGAAATGGAATATTTAAATGTATTATGTTAACTGAGGGGAATAGAGAGGGGGTAGTGAAATTTATTGAGTTGTGTTGTTTATATATATTTTCACTTTTGAATGTTTGACCACCCAGCCATCAAGGTGTGTCTTGAGTACTTTTTGTTTAAGAATTTAAAAAAAACAATAAAATGTTTTTTTTTTAAAAAAAAGGCAATGCCAGTGCAGCCCTCCATGAGAGGTGAGATTGCCTCCTCATGAGTAGTCTATCTGACCAGACTTGTGCCTGTCTCCTCTGCTCTGTGTGTCCTTGGATCAGGAGGAGGTGTGGACTCCACCTCTTCCTCATTGCTAATGGGCAGCAGCTATTCCCGGTCCTAGCCTGGAGCCTCCTGGCCAACTTGCTGCAGCTGGCCTCTCTCAGCCTCAGCCTGCCCCTCATCCAGTTGACCTAGCTGAGGCTGCTACATCAGGCTATCATTCTCTGAGCCCGATCCTGACCAATAGTCCACTCCATACTTTCCTCTGAAGACTCAAACTCCTCCTCCTCCTCCTCCTCCTCCTCCTCCTCACATCTGGAGAGGGGTGGGGGGAATATGTGCACTGGGGTGTTCTATGCATTGTACGTTCCTGATTGTGTGTAGCTTTTAGTTGTTAATTAGGGTGTTGATGCTGGCTATTACGTCTTTGATTGTTGTTTCCTTGTGCTGCTGTGCCCTCGATTCCTAAGTACCTCATGGGCTGGTGATAAATCAGCACTCCTATTGACTGACAAGGGCCCTATTTTTCATTCTAATTTTAAGTCTCTTCTCTAGCCTTTGCTGAAACAAGGCTTTGAAATAATCCCTTGTGTATTGCGAGGCATTTGTCAGCCACCCAGAGTTTTTACAGCACATGGTTCTGGTCAGACTTCAGACTGCTGCATGTTCAGTGCAATAAATGCTGCTGTGATGTTACTAGAGCTGAAGTCTAGGGACCCAAATGACAGGGAGAGATGGGGGATAAATTGGTGGAAGGGTGCTGAGACTGACAGTAATTACTGCAACCTCTTTCCTATTATTAAAAACATTTTATTGCCAAGCTTGGTTGGATATACCTGCTAATTTTTAAAATATTTTTTCAATGTCTTATTCCTTTAAAAAGAAACACTTATTACTAAGCAAAAAGAGCTTATTATCAAGTTAATCTTGCATTTGACAACAGAAATAAAGAAGCTTTTGTAAGGGCATTGAATAAACTATTGTAAAATGCATATATAATTCAAGTAGGAAACCCATCTATAAGCTTGAATTACAACCCAGCACGTCATCCCTATCAATCTGGTGGGCTGTGGACAGTGAGACCATGGGCTGAATCTGTTTTCCTTGGCTGGGTTGTCCAAATTGCACCTGCTCATCTGCTATCCTTAAAGGAAAGTGAGGCAAATTAGCAGCACAGAGATATCTAACTCAGGTTTGCAGGAAACAGGTGCCTCTTAAATTCAACCCTTTCCATCCTTGCCTGGCTTATAACATATAAATGGCCACAAGGTGGAATACTTTCAAAAGGAAAGCAATTGCTAGAATCAAAGTCTCAGTGAGAAATATACAGCAATTTATTGCTGGGGAGCTCAAAATTAAATATTAGTTAATGCAGTCTTTGGGCTAATGTGCAAGCTTTTGCTTCTATTTCAGAATTTTTAGTGTTTTAGCTTTTCTGAGTGTTATGCCATGTTAGATTCAAGAGATCTGCAATCAGATTTCATAATCTGAGTTAGTTAAAGGAGGCTGAGAGTTCTGTCTCTGAGTTAGTTAAAGGACGTGAAGTGGTTCTGTCTTTGGAAGTATTGCTGCTGGTCATGTTTTTCCACTTCTTTGCATTGTGCCCATGTTCTACATTCTTTCCTATGCCCAAAATGCTGCTTATTTCACTGAGTATTCAGTGGTGATAAAAGTAGTGGAAAATTCAATCATTTATTTCTTCCATCTCTTTTAACCTTCCTGGTTTAGAAAAGAAAATGAACTAATTTAAATCAGACTGAAGCAGGCTGAATTATTGTGGCCTAGTTTTCTTTTGTCCTGATGTCTTACCAGAATTTGTGGCAGGACAAAAGAATACTAAAACAGACATTCAGCCCAAAAATTCATCACTGCTTCATCGATGCCAGCCATGATAGCCTACACCAGTATAATGAACAAGACTGTTTGAAATACTGAGTCACACATCTGTCTTTAGGGCGTGGAATTTATTCCAACATGCTGGGATTCCTTGGTGGTGTTTCTTGGGCCATGCTGGTGGCAAGGACCTGTCAGCTGTACCCAAACGCTTTGGCATCAACACTTGTTCACAGATTCTTCTTAATTTTTTCAAAGTGGTAAGATTTATTTATTTACTTACTTACTTACTTACTTACTTAGTAAATGCAGTGCATTTTTTCTAAAAAAAAAAAAAAAGTGCTGGAACTCACACAAATCATACAACCCGCCTTGCCTACCCTACAAGGTTCCATCCAAAAAAGGTGCCGGAACTCCGTTCTGGGTGTTCTATGAGAAAAAAAGCCCTGAGTAAATGTATAGACAATCCATCCCACTACCAAAGCAACTTTTGATTAATGTATGGGCCTCTGCTGTGCAAGCAGTGCAGGCCATTTTATAGACTAACAAAACATTACACTAAGCTAGGATTGGCAAGCCAAGTGGCTTGAAATCATGTCTCTTTCTGATAGGTATTCATCCTAGAAAGTTGAAGGTTTATTATGCAAAGGGATTTGCCTTTTGCTATCCAAACTGGTTTACTGAAGACATTCACCTGGCATAGAATTTCTTCTGAGGAATTCAATTCAAAATTGCCTAGATTCTGGATGGTAGATTGTCTCAGAAAGACAACCATTTCTAATAAAGTAAACATGCTCCTTAAAGAATGCTGAAAGAATATCATTTTTAAATACCACGCCAGTTAGCTTTCTCCTGCTTCTAACAGGACAAAGTTGCTCAGAAGAAGCCAATGCCAGAGTCCTTCTAGGAGTTGCCTGAAATAGAATTCTTAGAATGACACAAGAGAAAAATACTTAAAGGTTGCTATGTGATAGCTGCATTTAGTTTAAATTAAATTTAAATATAAGAAAAAATAAATTATTTTCTCCCCATCTTCTTTTTGGAGTACGGCACTGATATTGCTTATAGGCCATCATGGGGCTCAGCCTTATAGATAGTGTGAGTTCCAAAAAATTGTCCCTTAGTGGAACTGCTAAAATGATTTATATTTGGCTGTTTTAACTCTTATGTCTCCATAGGTGACTTTGGGCTTATTCACTTTTTGAATTCTTACCCTCCCTTTGTATTAGTTCTCAGCGAGAATTGTTTTAGGGATTACAGAATCTTGCAGGATCCAATCTGGGTCAGTCACCAGAACCAGAGGTTTAGTTCATTACAGTATCTGGTTATATGCCACACAATTAATCTCCCTTGAATTTATTATTTGTTGGCATTTGTTAGGAAATACACTTTCCTAACCTGGTAACCTGTGGAGCAGGGCTGTACAACCTTGGCAACTTTAAAACTTTGTTCAGCTGAATTTCCCAAAATTCTCCAGTCGGCCAAGCTGGGAAAACCCCTGCTCTAGACATTACTGACATAGGTAACCACTTTTGACTAGCATGGCAGTGTTGGTGGGAAGTTACGGTAGTTCTGGAGGGTGGCATATTGGGGAAGGCAGGCATATTTTGTGTTTCTATGTTTGTAATATAGAATATCTATGTGTAGTTCAAGTTTTGTCAGATTGCCTTTACATACAATATTAGCATTATGTGGAAATTAATATAATGGACCCAGCAAATTCTGAGGCCATCTACAGTGTATGTATTAGAAAAGAATGAAAGATGTTTAACTGGATTGCCTTCTCTCCAGAATTATCACTTATCTCTCTTACCTGCAGGGAATGGCCCAATCCTGTCTTGCTGAAACAACCTGAAGAAAGCAATCTTAACTTGCCTGTCTGGGACCCGAGGGTTTGTAAAACATACCATTTTGAGATGACAACAGTACCAATTCTTGATGGAGGGTTTTTCAGTAGCCATTCCTCTTCTAAGAGATTATCTGTTCTGTGAGGGTCTTTGAGTTGTGTGGGGCGAAATGGAAGGAGAGGAAATGTTCACAAAGGAGAATAACTAATGTTTGGAACAAAATCCACTTCTAAGCTGAATGTCCCTGTCTCATTTCAAGACAAAACACAGGCAGGGCATTGTGACATTGTTGTGTAATATCCTTTGTAATCAATTTTGCGGTTATGCTAAGACCTTGATTCATACTCTATTCTGAGTTATTTTTAAAATTGCTTTAGAATTATTGGCTCCTTTGGAATTGTCTATTCTGAGTGGGGAAAGGATGTTCCCTTATAAGTGAAGGTGTTTTCTCTGCATTTTCTATTGAATGCTAAACTTTAGTTAGCAGCTATAAAACACTTTCTGGACATGCACAAAATAGGTTGCCGGGATTATTTTTGGTATAATGACAATACTCATTGTAAGACAGATTGGTGTTATATTCCCCTGTTTCAAATGGAGGTGAAGGTTTACATTTATATTTGGTTTTCTAAAGGCCAGCTGATGAGTTGTTGGTTCGTGACATTTTGGGTTCATATTCTGAAGATTAGTTCTTCATGGAATCACCCATTCATCTGTGACAGGTAAATCCAGCTGACCGGTATCATCTGATGCCCATTATCACTCCAGCCTATCCACAGCAGAACTCCACATATAATGTGTCCACATCAACCCGAGCAATCATGGTGGAAGAATTCAAATATGGTAACCCATCTCCATTGCCTCTATATTTCGCATAGCAGAGTAAGAACAGTTTATTATTTGCTGGATAATCTCTTTGAAGAGTTTGCATTTTCCTTTTCTGAATGGATACAAAGAAATGCTCTAGATCAGGAGTCCCCAACCCTCAGGCCACAGACCGGCACCAGACCCTGGCATGCCAGAAACCAGGCCGCACAAACAAGTGAAACCCCATCCGCAGAATGCAGGCAGCACATAAAACCATGCCCTCTGTGGTCCGTGGAAAAACCTCTCTCCACAGAATCGGTCCCTGGTACCTAAAAGGTTGGGGGCCACTGCTCTGGATCATTTTTGTTCACTGGCAATCTTGTAGGAATGAATTTTCATTGATCAATATTGTTATTTTTGCAAAGGTGGGTGTCTAGTGATATGTTTTATTTATTTTTCTATTTATTATAATACTACTTCAAACAAAATGAATCTGTGACACTTACAAAAGCAATTAATGACAACTAGCCATAGAAAAATACATAAAACTATCCTATGAATGAAGTTATTTCTGTATTAGTATCTGGTTGTTGTAGATATTTCTTAAAAGGACAAAGGAGACTTTGTCCCAACATTCTTCCCCCTGCTTCACCTCAGCAGAATTTAGGGAAGAAGGGCATTCTTTGGGAGAGAGGAGAAATTTCTCTTTGAATGTTTCAGGGCTGGAGGGATTTATTATTGGGAGTAGGAAGATTGACTTCATTCTCCCTTTCCTGCCAGGAGTATCTTTACTGAAGCCAGAAACAACAATAGCATTCATATCATTGTTGCTGGTTTTGCTTGGTCCTATTCCTATTATTCTAGCATTTTAAGGGAAACAATAGCCTTCTTTAAAATGGCAGCAGAATTGTTCTTTGGACAGGAGAGAATAGGAAGAAAAAAATTCACAGAGAAGTCTCTCTTTTAGTCATCTCTTGTTTCAAGGATTGTAGAAATGTGGCACTGGGAGTCTTGAACTCAATGTGTGGATTGGCAGAGCTAACTATTATTCCCCTTCTCTCTTTTCATACTCATCTCTTATTTCTGATAATATCCAATTATCATTACTGACTATCCAAGATGAGATGCACAAAGTGTTCCCATGCAATATGGGATAGGATGCCAGTCCAAAAAGTAGAAAGGATTGAGGTGGTAAAGCTGCACCATAGACCCCCAATGGGAAGAGTATTAGAATGGGCACAGCTGGAAAAAACAATGGGATAGTGGATGTTAAGGAAAGTTCTCTGTGAGGTCTGTTAAGATTTATAATTCTTATAATTCTTAGCCTCAATGGCCTTTGTGGGATTGACACTTCTGAATTTATAACTGATTGTTATAAAGCACTTACCATAGGTGTGCTATGTTTAAACAGGTCTCATGGTTACAGATGAAATTCTTCAAGGAAAATCGGATTGGTCAAAGCTGCTTGAGCCACCCAACTTTTTTCAAAAGTATAAGTATGTGAGATCACTAAAGGTTTCAGAATTCACATTTCAGCAACTAAATATTCTGTATTTTAGCTAGCGATGCATCCTAAGCAGTTTATGGGTATAAGCTTATATTAAAATAACAATAGTGGAAATATGGCATATTTAAAAAACTAACACTAAGTGTTAGATCAAAGAAATCTGGGTACAATAATAACATGTGGCTAGTGATAGCTGGGCAGGGTAGAGAATGCAACATTGTTAGGAAATATATTTGCAATAGTGACTCATTAATTTTAATATTTATTTGTTATTTTTGAAATGGATTATCCTGTAGTCAGCTCATGATATAGTACCATGTTACCAAAGTTAGAGAATATAATCTGCACCCAAATAGTTTAATCTTGGCAATGGAACTGCAAATAGCTGCACCCAAGGCCAGCCTTATCATTACATAAAGTAAGGCAATTCTTCGATTAACAAATGTTGGATGGTTGTGGCAGTGGCATGTTGGCTAATAGACCAGGCTGCTCTCTTCAAATAGAGTGCAGAATATTATCCTGAATATTAATCTAATAGTAGACTGCTAATGCATGGTAAACAAGAAGGAACATATTGATTTTCTGTTTGAAAATGTGTAGATTTTTTTTCATTGTGGAGATTTATGTTATATATTTTGAAATCAACAAAATATGTTAAGCATTGCATAGGAATTTTAGAGACAGAACAACATACCTTATTTATTTAACCCATCTTACAGAACAAAGGTGACCTTTAGATAATTAAGTACCACAGTTTTTGCAGCTCTGTAAATTATAATGAGCACTTTCAGTGTTTTTGGAAATATTATTTGGATTCTTGATTGATGCTGAAGCCTCCTTAGCCTTGATGTGGGAAAAGTGTATCAGTACAGTTCAAGGTTAAGGAAGATTTTAGAGGAGACTGATATAAATAAAGTTAATAATTGAAGATTAAGTAGTAGAGTTTTAAATAGTTTTAACAGTAGTTTTTTTTTAATTTAAAAAGTTTTATTAAAAGTTACAAAGTAAACCCATTTACCCTACCCCCTACCCCCACCCCCCCACTTCCCGGAGCCAAATACAAGGTATTTCAAACATATTAAACATTAACCTAATTAAGTTAACTAATATATTAATCATAAGCTAAACAAGTTTAACAATTTATACAACAATTAAAATCATACTTAACCCTTAACTCCCTTTAAACCTTAATAACATTATAAACACATCAATTTATAAGCAATTATTATATAATAAAAAAAATTAAAAATATTATTTTTTTAATCATAAAATAAGTGGAACTTTTCAGTTCCATATTTAATCTTAATATAATCTATCCATCTTCTCCATACCATAATATATCTTTCTTGTGTATGATCCTTTAAATAAGCAGAAATTTTAGCCATTTCTGCTAAGTTAGAAACCTTAAATGTCCATTCTTCTAATGTAGGCAACAAATCTTTCTTCCAATATTGACCTATCAATAACCTTGCTGCTGTAATTAAATTCAACATTAAAACAATATCTTTAACATCAAAATCCTCAAAAATCCCTAATAAGAATAGTTGAGGAGTAAACTTTATCTTTCTTTTAAAAATATTTTGAATGTTCCACCAAATCATAATCCAAAAAGCCTTAATATTTTTACAAGTCCACCAAATATGAAAATAAGTTGCATCCACACCCCCAACATTTGGGCTGTAAGTTAGGGTACATACAAGATAACTTTTTAGGATCCAAGTGCCACCTATAGAACATTTTGTAAAAATTTTCTCTTAAATTTTGAGCCTGTGTGAATTTAACGTTTCTAATGTTAATGTATAAATAAAGTTAATAATTGAAGATTAAGTAGTAGAGTTTTAAATAGTTTTAATAGTAGTTTTAATAGTTTAATTTTAAAACTAAGACTATTAAAATGTATCAAATTTTAGTTCTCTATTTTTCCAGACACTATATTGTATTGACTGCTGTTTCTTCAACTGAAGAACATCATTTGGAATGGTAAGCCTATTTTTTAAATGCTGATAATAATCCCAATTTTAAAATCAAAAGCATTTCAGAAGGGAATTGGAGAAAAACTGTCTCTCCCTAATAGTCTTCATTAAGAACAGTAAGATTTATTTTCCAAACCAACTGAACATTTTACATTCAAGTATCCACATTAAAAATATGCTATATCATTTACAATGTATGAGCATAAAAATCAACATAATCTCATATATTCTGTATAAATTGTTCTGCAAGTTGTTCAGGTTATTCTGTTTTAAGATTTCAATTTATTTAACTACTTGCTCTGACTTCTGTATTTTGACAAGTTTTAACCACATGATTTCAGATGTGTCTACATGCATGAAGGGATAAAAACATTGAAAAAAATTAAAATTCTCAGTGCTAAGTTCTCTGCACACAACCACATCAAAAGAGTTGCAGAATGTACTCATTCTAGGCCCACCCATCATGTAATTCCTGTCTAATATCAGGTCAGTCCAATTTATAACCATTTATCTGTTTTATGATTATACTCTACTAAGCCATAATGTTTGCTTTGGCTTAACATATTGTTTGAAACCATCCATTATGATTCATAAGTCATAATTCATGGATTGGCATATGTACAGCCAAGCCAATTATGATTTATTTAACAAACTATGGTTTTGCCTAGTATATAAACACAGTGTGCATCTGCTAAAAGAAAATCAGAATTGTTACATGTCATCCCATAATAATGTTTAGTTTCCAATAAGCAAATACAAATAATTGGAGAACACATTTAAATAGAGATAGGTGCTTTTTTGCTGGGCCAAGATCCTAATGCCTAGGACAGATGTCTCCATTTTGATTGTCTCCAGTGAGAACTGATAACTCTTCCAGAGGATTCCAATGATGTTTCTGATCCTGATCATCATCTTCATTCATTCTCCTCTTCTTCTCTTCAATCATAATAGTTGTTTTTAATAGTCTATCATATGTACACATTGTACACAATAGTCTATCATATGTACACAAATATGGGTTTCTGTTTATACATAATCTCAAGGGAGTAACCAATGGTTAATTAGCCCAGGATGGATTGATTGATTCCTCTTGCTGTCTGTAGTTATTGTGGTCTTGTCTGAATCCCTGACTCAGAAACTAAAGAGACAGACCAGCAGCTTGAGGGATCAAAAAGTAATTAGCACCCACGGCAGTTTTGGGAGGCAATGAGCCTTAACAAGGGAGACCCAGGGCCAGGTTCTGGTAGGATGCCTCCCTCAAGAACAAGTGGCAGCTGCAAAGGACTGAGCAAAGGCAAATAATAGCATGCCTCCTTAAGAGGAGAGGGTAGTAACATTGCTAATACAGGCACATTGGCTGGATCTGGGTCTATATAAGAACTGATTTGGAAAAAAGTCATATACTGGAAAAACTGCACCTGCATTCCTGTCACTCTTGCTCTGCATTTGGACTCTTTCAGACTGGCTCCTGGAATTCTCTAGTGATCAAACAGTGGACTGTTACAGTCAACTCTTGTAGCTCTGCCTTTCTTTGTTCCTGCTGGCAGATTGTTATGGTTCAACGTAATGGATTCTTTGAACTTTTCAAGGTGTAAGTGCTCTTTGGCTTTATTTATTGGTTTATTCAATTCATTCATCCTGATTCTTATCAGAAAAATTACGACAAAGCAACAAAATCCTGCAACCTTCTATGTCCCTGGCATTTATTTTTGCTTTAGTGCAGGGGTGTCAAACTGCCGGTCCGCGGGCCGGATGTGTCATTCCAAAATCGCGCCCATCCCATTGCCGGCAATGGAAAAAAAAGTCACGATACATTGCAATACGTCATATGATGTTGGGAGTTTGACACCCCTGCTTTAGTGGATCCAGATACTAACATTCTTAGTCAACATCTCCAGATCTATGATTCTAAGGTGTGAACTTTTTTCACTGTTCCGCTTTCACAGATATGCATCACCATTGAGAAGAACCTTGCTTTAAATATTCTGATCTTCATCTTAAGAATATCATAATCCTTCCTGATCTTGTTTAATAGTGCATCTTACAATTAACATCTTATTTATTTTTCTGTTAACTATTCATCTTCATTTTAAGTCAAAGAAAATAAAACTATGTACATTTTCAATTGTAAATTCATTAATGCTAATTGATGCTGTCATCTTAATAATTAGCACTAATTCACATTTTCATTTCATAATAAGCTCTTTACATTCAGCTAACAAACTGGTATTGTCTATGTATCTCAGACTATTAAGAGTTTCAATTTCCAGTTTTGGTTCCAGTTGTCATCTTTAATATCTTGTCATTCTTATATTTGTTGAGACAGTTAGACTATATTCATCCTTATTTTACTTCCTTCCATATACTGAGACACTGTGTTTCCAAAGTCACTACTCATAGTAGCTTCTTGTTAATTGTAAATGTTCCTCAGAGGAATAATCAGATGTTCTGACACTCCATGAGTTCCACATTCTGGCATGAACTTCTTAGTCAAAGGGCTTGCTGTAGTTAATAATACAGAGTTGCCCTCTTATATTTTCTTGTTCTCATTGTGAAAACATAAAAACAACCTAAAAGTTTTTCTGTTCCTGGAACTTTCTCCCTTCAGAGTTGAGGATGACCCAATTTGTTGTCCTTTGATAGGGCTTGGATGTCTTGGCTTTATGTTGTGGTTTGGGGCACTAAGTATGTAAAGGACTTAGAGCCCCAGGTTTCCTGATTATATTGACATTTATGATAACATTTTTTACTCAGCTGCCACACATCTTTAATTTTGTACTATATTGTAATTGTTTTTAATCATTTTATGATTGTTCACTGCCCATAATCACTTGTCTGAGATGGGCGGTTTAGAAAATAAATAAACAAATAAATAGTAAATCAAAGGAGCATAAAATAAAATATATTCACAAAGGGAAATGCACAACAAGCTTAGCACATGTGGGAAATTTAAAGTAGAAATAATTGAAAACAAATGAATAGCAAACCTCACTGAGAAGGCCTTCAATTCAGTGGATCATTTGAGGAAGAGATTAAAATATTCAGTTTGATTCTTGTGGGAGAAGATCACTTTGCAAGTACTACCCTTTTACCTGATTCCTGATACCTTTTAAAAATGAAAAACAATTTTTAAGTTTCACCCACAACACACTGGAAGCTGGAAGTAGCACATGCATAGCAGAGCAATCATCAATAAAAGACTTTTCTGCAATTTGCAAATAATTTTATTATATGCATTATTATTTTATTGTTTATAAATATTAAATAGAGAAAAATACAAAAGCTACTTGGAAAAGTAGATACTTTTCCTGTTCTTTATACTCCAACTGATTTGCAATATTTGTAAACATTTAGACCTTTTCAGAAACCATACATTTTGCAGCCCAAGAGAATTATCATTATCTGGTTGATTGTTTTATGATCTCAACCTAAAGAAAGCAATGCTGGTCCAAAGACTACTTTACTCTGTGATGGACAGTATATAAACTTAATCCTTTAAAAAAGATGATGTTGCCTCATAAATCAGTGTCAGCCTTTTTCCCTCAAGTCTAATTTAAATATAACTGCTATATGATATTGAGGATTTTGTTGTGCTAATTATCTGGTGCTTTTTAATTTATTACTTTTTATTCATGTGTGTTTCAAACTTGTGATGGATATTTTTATTTCTGAAATAAGCATTCATCCTATGGATGTAAAGAATTCTAAATGCTGAAAATAATATTTTCCAATATTAAATCTCTTTCTTGTGTTTCATGCATTGCTCCCTCAAATTGCATAGTGCCATGTTTCCAAAGGTAGTTGGGAGTTCTTGATATTCTTACATTGCTGATTTTCTCTCTGTAGGATTGGCTTGGTGGAGTCTAAAATCCGTGTGCTTGTTGGACACTTGGAGAGAAATGAATTTATTACTCTTGCCCATGTAAATCCTCAATCCTTCAGTGGAAACAGGGATCAGTACAAAGAGTGAGTTAATGTCAACACTATTGTGTTGTGTTGAATTGATGTCTGCTTTTGAAGAGAGGCTAACATTGCTAGTTAGAAAGCCTTGTATAGCTTCTGTCTTTCCATCCTCAATTGTTTCCTTGGATAACAACAAAGCAAGCAATGGGAAAATATGGGAAGCACATAATAATCTTGCTTAATCTATAGGCACCTTTAGTCTGTTGTAGCACAAAGGTGATTTGTGTCACAACTGATTTGAAACCTTTAAGGTACACCATTGTTAACGGTTGGATTTTATATTTTGTCAAATAGTTGTATGTCTGGAAATGCTCCGTCATCCAAGTCATAATTGTCCCAAAAGTACTTTTCAAAAGGCAACTGGACTTTCTTTGGGGTTTTTTTTCCTTGAAGACATTTCACTTCTCATCCAAGAAGCTTCTTTAGTTCTGAAGAAAGTTTGGTTGCCTTTTGAAAAGCACCTTTGGTCAAATAGTTTCAAATAACATTCTTAGCAAACTTTGAGGGAGCCCTAGATTCACTCTATCTATCTATTTATCTATCTATCTATCTATCTATCTATCTATCTATCTATCTATCTATCTATCTATCTATCTACCTACCTACCTTATTTTCCGGCGTATAAGACGACTGGGCGTATAAGACAACCCCCAACTTTTGAGAAGATTTTCATGGTTTAGAAAGTCATCTTATACGCCGGAAAATACGGTAATTTAAAAGGTATATACCGACCACCAACCATGCAATTGTATTATAGCTATTATCTTTTTGGAATTTTGAAATATACTTTTTCACCATAGTTTCAATTTCTAATGCAATTAATGCTTTTTAGGAAAAAGGAAACAAGGTAACCACAAAATCCCAGTTAAAAAAAATTAATATTTTCCAAAAATGGGTGACTCTTTGACCCAGGTTTTATATAGTTTTTTTATCTTGCGTTGCCCCTTTTATTTGCATTTAATCTTAAAAGTGACAGGGGAAAAAACTGCATGCTGAATTGGAACTATATTTAATGGTTCTACCATAGCAGTGCCTATTGCTAAAGAAAAAACTTGCCTCCAGAAGTTGTGGGTACTCCACAACTTCTGTCCCTGTCCTGCCACAGCTCTTTCATGGGATTCCCCATCAGGCAGAAGAGCAGTGGTGGTCTGGATGCCTGGATTCCCCGGCGGGGGGTGGAAGTGTTTCCAGGGCAACAGAAGCCTTGTTTTATTGGCATATTGGTGTGGGACACTTAAACTCTCATCCGGACAGCCAATCCTCGCGCCAAGGGATGAGGAGCATGGGGCGCAGGATACGGGGGAGCTTGCTTTGATGTACTCATAAGCGGTTGAGGGGGGATTGCCACCCCTGCCCCCACAATGACATAGTTAATAACAATCCGATCAGGCTTTGCTGCATGGCTGCACCCCCTCCCCCCACGTACTTCGTTCTGGTGCCTTTGGAGAGAGAGAAGGGAGAGAAAGAGCGCGCGCGTGTGTGTGTTTATGTGTGTGTGAGAGGGAGGGAGGGAGGGCTCCCCTTTTTGTAAGTTTGCTTGCTCCGTCTGTGAGGGTCTCCGTTCCCCACACTTTTGCTGGCCAGCACCTCGCCTTCCTCCTCTTCCCTTTCCCTCCTGGCTTGTCTTCCTGTGTCCGAGGTGGCCTACGCGTTGCCGTGCGAATTGGCAGCCCGGATGCTAGTTTAAATGTCCTCTGCAGCCAAATAGCCCTGGAAAATGCCAGGGAGAAAAGAGGCGGAGCTAGAAGGCCCACCTGGGGTGAGCCGCGGTAAGGCGCCCAAGAAGAAGTGGGCACGTAAAGGCAACTGGATTACCTTGTCCCATTCCGCCCTGGGAAATATTTCTCCGTTTCTGGTGAAAACCGCTGCTCTGTGGCATGAAGGGCTGCTGCACTTAAAATGAAATAATTTCTGGGGTTGTTTTTTGATATGCTGAGGTGTGGCTTTTTCCCTCTGGACCTTTAAGCAAAATGCCATGTTACTTTTTCTTATTCCTCTAATGGCCCCACTTGCAAAATTCTTGATTGCAAATCCAATTCTTATAACTGAACTGTTTGTGGCCACCCTCTTTGGTTTCTTTAGGTACCCGTATTTTCCAGCGTATAAGACGACTGGGCGTATAAGACGACCCCCAACTTTTGAGAAGATTTTCATGGTTTAGAAAATCGTCTTATATACCGGAAAATACGGTATCTATCTATCTTTTATAAATAAAACCTATATGGCTGCCTATCTTATACTGAAAATCCTAGGCAGCTCACAATGACATAAAACCAACTGAACCCCACAGCAGCACCATATAACCAAACCATAGCACCAGAACCTCCTACTTACTTTACATTTACATTTGCTGGACTCTCTTTGATCTTTGCCCAATGTGAGGTTTTCATAGCCCTCCAGAAGGGCTAATAGGGTAGAGAACCTCCAGATCTCAAGAGCCAGGGCGCCCTCAGAAAAGGAGCCATACTTACTTATAAATTAACATGGAGTTAGTTTTAATATCAGTAACAATACTATTACTCTCTATTTTCTTTTAAAGCAACCAGTCTGATAATTCTTAGTGACTGGAAAATGTACATGTTTTGTAATCTTGAATTGCCCAGTAAAGTATGATTCAAAGGGACTTTGGATTGTTTAAATATCTAATATGGTTGGTTTTTGTCTTTTCAATGGGATTAGAATGTAAATAAGTATTGGGTTTATAAATGCATATGGCCTAAAGGAATAAAACCATGGAAGAGAGCATTTACAAGGAATGACTAACTAATGTGAATGAAGTTGCTTACTTTGAACTTGTCTTTGCACATTTCCCTCTTTTTGTACCCACCTGGCCAGGTAAGAATAGAAGCAGATAGACTGTTTTGCAGTAGAATCAGTTGATGAGAAAACACTTTAGCTTCTTCCTGGCTGATTATATTCCTGGTTCCCATAATAAGTGCCAAAGGGGTAGGGAACCTACAGCATTCAGCCGCATTCAACACTTGAGGCCATTTAGTGTGCTTTCTCCAGAATTCTTTGTGATGCAGCTGCTGTGCAAGTTTTCTGAAAGCCCTGTTCCTGCTAACTCTCAAGTCAAGGAAGACCTCTCAGTGCAGATACCAGAAGCTTCTAGGAGAGCTTGTGAAGTGTGTGAGCTCTGTAGCTATTTGGGCCTTATAGAAGCAGGGCCTTTCAGAAAATGAATAGTGTGAAAGCAAGGAAAAAGAGAAAAGAACAAAAGTAAAATGGCACTTATTTTGCTAAAACCTCCTCTCTCCATTGACCTTGTTAAATTAAAAGTGAGATAGGGAGTATTCATCTTCTTTTTTCCAGTGAGCACACTATAGCTGAGTGATTTTACACCTGAGTTTTCTCAATCTCTTTTGTCCAGTTATGTGTGAATTTAGATGAATGTGTGCATGTAGATATACAGTATGTTTATGCAGTTGGTATGCATGTCCAGTCTAGCTGAGTACTCCATAAAGTCCACTGTTCCCAATACATAGTTTCCTCTTCATTAGAATAATAAAATTCTGCATTGCAAAGTCCATAATTCCTTTATAACATATAATTTTGTTCTTTGTTATGTTGACATCTGAATCTCTGCAAGGAAATCAGTCTAATGCAGAAGTAATTTACGTTTAGCTCTTACCCAGAACACTTTTGGCATTGGAGCATTTGGTAATATGTTGTTTTGTATCTTTCCCTCTAGAAGTGATTATGTGTCAATGTGGTTTCTGGGAATAATTTTCAAGAAACTGGAGAATGCAGAGAGTGTAAGCATTGACTTAACCTATGATATCCAGTCATTCACAGATACAGGTAAACTTTTCTCTCCTTAAAAGTCCTGTTCTGAATAGACCATTATTATTTTAGATGGATGCCTCATTTTAGTGTACGGTAGTGCGTCTGACATCTTGGCAACCAAGTGAAATGTCATCCATAATGTGCTGGCTTATAAAAATGAGAAAAGGAAGTTTAGAAAAGAATAACCAAGTCTCTGCAGGCCTGATATTTTTGGATGCTGAAAAAGCCTTTGATCAAGTGAATTGGCAGTTTATGCTGTGTTTAATCAAGGAGATGAATTTTGGACAAAATATATTACAAGTATTATCCAATATATATCAAAAACAGACTGCTCAAATTATTGTAAATGGGGGTTTGTCAGAGGCTTTTGTAATAGAAAAAGGAACAAGACAGGGATGCCCGTTGTCTCCGTTATTGTTTGTTTTAACACTGGAAATTTTGTTGATTAAAATTCGGGAGTCTCAAGAAATAAAAGGAATAGAAATTAATAAAAAAGAATATAAATTAAGAGCCTTTGCAGATGACTTGGTTGTTACTTTGTCTCAACCTGTTTCTTCGGTGGTGAAATTATTACAATTGATTCAACAATATGGACGTGTTTCTGGCTTTAAAATTAATAATAATAAGACCAAAATATTAGCTAAAAACATGACTAATGGTGATAAACAGGCTCTAGTTAACTTAACAGACTTTGAAATTGTTGATAAGGTAAAATATTTGGGGGTTACATTATCTGCTTCTAATGTAAAATTGTATAAAAATAATTATGAAAAGCTGTGGATGGAGGTACAGAAGGATTTAAAAAACTGGAATAATTTACAGTTATCCCTTATGGGCAGAATTGCAGTTATTAAAATGAATGTCCTGCCAAAGTTTATTTTTTTGTTCCAAATGTTACCTATCTTAAAGAACGAACGTAATTTAGATGAATGGCAAAAAGGTATTAATAAATTTGTTTGGGCAGGGAAAAAACCAAGGGTGAAACTTAAAATAATGCAAGATTTTCGTGAGAGAGGTGGACTCAAGGTACCAAATATGAAATTGTATTATGATGCTGTAGTATTGACATTGATTAGCGACTGGGTGAATTTAACAAATACAGAAATACTTCATTTGGAAGGCTGGGACCTATTTTTTGGATGGCATGCCTATTTAATATTTAATAAAAAAGTGGATTGGGTTTTTAAGTCTCATATTATAAGAAACTCTTTGCTAAGAGTGTGGAGAAAGTATTATAAAAGTGACTTCAAAATACCATTATGGGCTATACCTCGGCATGCCATAGAAGGTATAAGGAAAGGGGTAAATATGGACAAGGTCTCTTACGTACAGTTATTAAGATGGGATGGCCAAGACTGGCAGTTAAAATCTTTGGAAGAATTAACACATGAAAACTTAACTTATTCATGGTTCCAATATAGACAAATAGTGGATAGATGGAAGATGGATTGTAAAATGGGCTGGCTTAGAGAAGATGAAATTTTTTTAAAACAAGTAAGAGATCAAAGGCCAACCCATATTAAGAGAGTTTATGGGGTTTTAGTGGAATTAGATTCAGAACTTGAACTAGTTAAAGATTGTATGATTAAATGGGCACAGAATATTGGTGAAACGATTTCAATGGATACTTGGGAACTTATTTGGATAAGAAATGTTAAATTCACACAAGCGCAAAATTTAAGAGAGAATTTTTATAAGATGTTTTATAGATGGCACCTTGACCCAAAGAAAATGTCCATTATGTACCCTAATCTACAGCCGAAATGCTGGAGATGTGGATATTTGGATGCTACCTATTACCATATTTGGTGGACGTGTAAGCATATAAAAGCTTTTTGGATTAAGATATGGTGGAATATTCAAAGAATTTTTAAAAGGAGGGTAAAATTTACTCCGCAATTATTTTTACTAGGTATTGTTATTGACTGTGATGCTAAGGAGGTTATATTGATGTTAAATTTGATTACAGCCGCTAGGTTGTTAATAGGACAATATTGGAAGAAGGAATCTTTGCCTACTTTACAAGAATGGTTTCATAAAGTTTCGTATTTGGCAGAAATGGCAAAGATTTCGGCTTTCTTAAAGGAGCAATCTCAAGAAAAATTTTTTGCGGTATGGGAAAAATGGATAAATTTTATACAACATAATTTGGATATGGAAAAATATTATTTAGCCTTTTTATAATTTGTAATGATTGTTTTTTCTTTCTTTCTTTCTTCTTTTTCTTTTTTATATATATACATTTTTTATGTATTATTATTCATATTTTTTTTTTTACATATATATGCTTTATTCTTCGTCTACTTTTTTCTTTCTTCTTTCTCTCTCTCTCTTCTCTTTTTATTTTTTTTTCTTTTTTAGTATATATTATTCATTTTAAAGTTTATGTTATGTATATTATTATTATATATATTATTACTGTGATTTTTATTATTATTATTAATTATTTTATAAATTGCAAATGTTATTTTTAAAATATTTGTTAAATAATCCTATATTCAGTTCTGGGAAGTCGGGGGGGGGGGGTGGGGTGGTTGGGGAGGGGGGGGTGGATTTTTATTTGTAAAACTTTTGAAAAATTTCAATAAAAAAAAAAAAAATGAGAAAAGGAATATTTACATATTAAATTTCTATACTGCCCGTCACACCAAAGTGACTATGGGCGGCTTACAACAATATGCCACAGAGAAGATTTGAAAATGAAGCATAATCCATGCTGAAGTAAATTTCTCCTTTAAATAATTTTTTTCAAAGATTTACCATTTTTAAAATATCTTTAAAGCCTATTGGACTGACAAAGTCCTGATTTCTTGACTGCAAGAGAACACATGCTTTGCTCACTATTTAATCACATCCTTTATATCTATATTGAGCTTACTTTTAGATGAATCTGCTCCCTACAGCCTTGGAATTATTGGCAATAGTGTAAAGTTCACTATAATCAATGGGAGTTTCTCTTAACTATGCTGTAGTGAAGCATTTATCTTTCCAAGCAGTGTTCTTGGAATTTAATTAGATTCTGTAGTGGGTTTTGCCATTAGAATTAATAGGAGTTTTACAATGGACTCCCCTGGATACATCTTCGCACAAGTCCAATTAGGACTTGTCCTTCTCCAGAGGAAGAAAAATAGGCTTACTTTTCAAAATGTATGAGATTTTTATTTAGAGATGAAAAGTGTCTTGTGAAATGTAGTTAGTCAGCCTAGAAAATTCTGCAGAAGCTATTTTTGAAAGCTGAACATTGCTGTAAGCAACATAGGTGTGTATTCATTGGAAAGAAAGAAAAAGCCAAAACTCATGATCATATGTTTTCCAAAGTGGAGCCCTCTGCCCAATAATGTGTTGGAGCTTACTCATACCAGTTTTCCAACTGCTGATTGTTAAATTTTCTGGAATTTTGTGAGCCACTTGAGAGCAAAGATGAGCCTCCAACCTGACACATTGATTAGCTGTTCAGTGACCAGCAATGTGGCAGTAGCAGTGGAGCCGGCAGAGTCAATTATTAAACCCTATCAGCATGCCACTGCCTCTGCCCCTATACAGAGACTAGGAAAATTATATAAAAATATAAACAGACCTCAACTTATGGTCACAACTAACCCTGGAATTTTGGTTATATTTCATTGCAGTCATAAATCAAATCACCACATGACCAGACTAGATTTTATAGTTGTTTTTATGATAGTCGTTGAGTGAATCACATTATTGTAAGTCCAAATCTAGCTCATCCAAAGAGTGCTTTTTGCCATTTTTTTTACCAGAAAATAACAAAAAAAGTTGCAAAACATGATCATGTAACCATGGGATGCTGCAACTGGTTATAAATGCAAGCCAGTTGTGCCCAAATGCCCAAAATGCAATCGTGACTACAGGAGTTATGTAGCAATCATAACTTTGAAGATGGGTCGTAAATAACTTTTTCAAATCTGTTGTAACTTTGAATGGTTGTTAAGCAACAGGGCATAAGCTAAGGACTACCTTCAAGATTTATTCAATGTATTGGCATGTATCTGCTAGAGTAGAAATGTCTCCTGTAAACCAGGTGATATAATATATTGGATACAAAGGTATACATGTATATACTATTCTAACTATATAAGCTAGATTGCTGTAGGAAGGGACATTAGTCCCTTCCCCTTTTATTAATTTATTTTTTCTTGGACAAAATCTGGTTTTAAGTTATAAAAGCCCTTTATTAGAAAACATGTAATAATTTTATATTAGTTTAATGGAGACAATAAACAGTTGGCAGTTGTTGTGTTATGAAATCTAGTTTCTTTTTTTATATATATAAATATTTTATTAATTTTCTATTTTTGCAAACAAGTACTTAATAGACAATGTGTTGACTGAGTCCATTAGTAATTCCGTGGTACGTATAAGCTTCTTCAAGCTAAATCCAATATTACACCATCCAATACATCCTCTCTTCTTCGGGTAATAAATTTTTTCCCATATTAAGCAAATACAATTCTTATTGTTGTTAATAAATATGCAGTTGAATATCAACATTTATTACAGTTTTCTAATAGTATCAATGATATCAATTTAAAATATATTTTCTAACCAAAACATATCTTAATTGCATTTGCACTCAATATCCATTTATTCAGTCAGTATCCTATTTTCACTTTTTTTTCAGTTTTAATTTTCCATCTATGTTCAAAATATCCCAATCATTTATAATTTCAAAACAAGTTATATTCGGGTAACCAAAAGTGTCCCATATTCAAACTTCTTAGCATTCTCTTATTTCCCTTTTCATGCCAAAATATGATATTCTGATTACCAATCTTATCTATAATAATACTATTTCTAGCAATCTATTCTTAACCGTAGTCAAACATCTAATTAATAATATAATATCCCCTCTAATAGATCAAAGCTTCTGTTTTCTTCAGTCTTACTCTAGCTTTCTTCCTTTGCCAACTAACTTTCCAAGTCAGTGCATTTGGATCATCAAATAATTCTTCCTCTATTTTTGTGTATATTATTTGGAGCAAAAGAAACAATTT